AAGTAAGTGAGAATTGGGACTGGGGACCAGCAGAGTCAGGTCAGGCTGAATCCAAAGGCAAAGGGCAAGACAGGTGAGGGACTATGCCAGCTGGGTCAGAGTAACCAATGGCACATGCAAGATCTGTGGCTGGGAACAGGTCTGGTTGGGGAGCCAAGGGGATGCCCTGACTGGGTTATGTTTCCCACTGGTGAGTACGAGGGCCAGAGTGGGGGCTGTGATTGGTCTGGACATGGCTGAGTGCTTCTCCACACAAGTGTGGGCTGGGTCTGGGGTGGACCATGATGGGCTAGACTCCAGCACCCACTGCTGCTCATGAGAATCAGGGTCGGTGTAGGACAGACTGGGCTAGGTCCCTGCACTGCTGAACCATGTCTGAGCTGTGTCTGGGTGTGGACCAAGCATGGCTGGAGTGTAACACCTAACAGTAAAAGCCAGAATGGATGAGAACTGGTCAGGATAGGAAGACCACTTTTACTGCTAGGACAGGAGGTGGACCATGTAGGGCTGGCCCATGTAACCTACCAATGGTTGCAAGTTCTGGCATTGGTTAAGGTTTGGATAGAGAAGCTTGGGGAATTCCTCTGTAGGGACAAAGTCCCTTTAGGTGAGCACAAGTACTCTAACAGGGAGTAGACCAGTCAAGCCAGGGAATGGTCCCCACAGGCATACATTCTGACCAGGTCGAGTGTGAACAAGGCTGGGCCAGTTCACATCACCTGCTTGTGAATCTGAGCATCAGAATGGAGTGTGGGTCAGACTGGGTCAGGCCATAACACAAGCCAGTTCACGTGAGGGCTGGGACTGGGGGCCAGCTGGGCTGGCTAGGCTGTAGCCCCACCAATGTGAGCAGGAAGTGGGGGTGGGCCAACACTGGCCAAGCCACAGCACCAACTGGAAAATGCTGAGGTTAATAGGACATGCCAGACTGGGCTGCAGCAACTAACCAGCATACATGAGACACAGGAGAAGGGGGCAAAGCCAGTAGCAGGGCTCTCTGAAGCTCTCCTGCTAGAGCACCACTCCTACTGGTGAACATGAGAGCTGAGATGGGGCAGACCAGGCCAGGCAGGGCAGCAACACCTGTTGGCCTCATGTGAGCTAGATCAGGGGAAACTCGGGCTGGCTTGACTGTTGCTATTGTTACATGAATAAGCCAGAGTTAGTGTGTGGGTTAGTTGGGCTTTGATGCAGCATCAAGTGGCAGGTACTGACATGGGGGACAAATTCTGTCAAGTTAAACTGCAGAATCACCTGGAGAGTGCACGATCTGGGTGTGGGTCCATCAGGAAAACATTGGGCACCTCCCTCTTGGATTGCCATTTCTGATTGGTGAGTGTGAGAACCAGGACCAGGTAGGGATGGCCAGACAGAGTGGCACCCCCAGCACTTGTGTGGGCTGGATAGGGGAGCTAGTTGGATTGAACTAGGCATCAATGCCCATTGACACATGTGAGAGCTGAATGGAAAGTTGGGACAGACTGGACCAAGTCTGCTGTACATACTGGTGAGCCAGGGACAACTGCAGGGGTCAGGCCTAGTGGGGGTTATTGCAGGTTGTTCTGAGTAGGCTGTAGCTCCTACTGGTTTGTGTGAGGGCTGAGTGTGTGGTGGGCAAGATTGTGCTGGGCTGCAACACCCATTGGTTTGTGTAGAAGACAGGGCTGGAGACAGAATTGACCCAGCAATTGCAACCACCAGCAAGTGCATAAGCTGATTTGGGTGACTGACTCTGCCAAACCCTGTATTGGCAAGCAGACACAGAATCAGGTTTGGGATCACCTGAGATGAGGTTTCTTTGGGGAGTCTCCCAACTGAACTGCTGGGCCACAATCCCCAACCATGGGGAAGATTGCAGGTTCCATGGTCTGACTGTGGATTGTATGTGTCAAAGCTGGGCCTCATAGTGGCTCAGACGAAGTAGTGGACAGCATATCCAGGTGCACATGGAGCATGTGGCAGTACATTGAAGTCTGCAGAGTACACCTGGTACCATAATAGAGGACTGAGGACAGAACCAATTGATCAAGTATCCCAGCCAAAAGCATTGGCAGTGACTATCTGGGCAAATGGAGACTCTAAAGTGAATTATATCAACCAGTGGACTCTGGAGAGATTTGATCATGCTTCGAGTGGCAAGATCTGCAGTAATTCAGAAGTGTTGAATCACCAAAACCTCTCGAACAGCACCCTTGAAGCATGCCTTAGATAAGGGAACCTGGGGTGGTGTCTGGTGGCTGTTCTCCATCCCAGGTTGTGATAGCAAATTGGTGTTTGAGTGTGGCTTCTTCCCGTGTCTCCCCTAATTGCCCAGATGCAGGAATGAGGAAAAGCGAATGTGAAAATAATGGTCTCACCCTCCTTCCTGTGGCCCCTGACCCTTTGCACACTAATCATATGTGTAAAACTCATCAAAAATAAAGTTGTCTTTAAACATCGCTACTTATTATATAGATGGAATTTAGTCAGATTTATATTGCTTTAAGATGTTTATAATGTATATCCAGACATATTCTTTCTATTAGCTTCCTATTAGCATGTCAGAGAGAGTTTATCTCTACTCGGATTGTGCAGTGGGCATTGTTTACTATTTAATAAGATCTGTATGGGATATATCTATACCATTCTATGTCTTGAAATCAATTTCCATATCTATTTTATCTCTATCTGTAGCCATCTACTTTATATCTGCGTCTTGCTAGCTATATAGTTGATTTTAGAAAAACCACCAAAAAAAAAAAACTTGAAGCCAGATATATAGGTAATACAACAGGTACAATAATTTTGCTAGTTCAATTCTAAATGAAATTTCAGTAAAGATGAGATAGAAATGCTGTCTTGAGTTTTTCATTTTCATATTTGACAAAGCACAGTTATTTTTCATTGGTATGTATAAATGTATAACTGATTTTAAAAATTAACCAGCTGGAATCCTGCTTTTCAGCCAGAAAGAATATCTTTAAGTTGAAAATGAAAGACATCACCTTGTCCCTGTTGCTCACCAATGCCTGACTTATCCCCATGGACTGTATAACTTAGTGCCTTTGAGTTGCCAGGTGCAAAGGAAGAGGTGGTGGGCCTGCTGCTGTAGCATCATTCCTTTCGCAGTCAGAATCCCCTCCCTCCTGTGTCTATTGGATTGCCCCCGTATCAGGATGGGAGCAAGGAGTTAGCCTGCCAGGGAGTCCTGGAAGAGAGGGCCAAACTGTCCATTCACACCTGGACAGGAGATGAACATACTGAATTTTACCTCCCACCCTGCTTGTATTCACTCCCCAGTGACTGACCGCACCACTAACAACCCTACAACCATTATGGGTTGAACTGCTATCGCCCAAAATGTTTGTCATGTCCTGATACCGGATAACCTGTGCATGCGATCTTTCCTGGAAATGAGGCCTTGGAAGCTGTAATTGCATTAAGATAAGGTCAACCTAGGATGGATGGTCTTTGACCAGTGATGTCTGTGCTTTGAGTGAGAAGGCTGTGAAGATACAACACTGCATGCGGACAGACCAGAAGCTGGAGTTACCTCGCGTAGGAGAGGGGAGGGCAAGGACAAGAGGCAACCACCAGGAGGCAGAAGTGAGGAGTGGGTCAGGTTCTCTTGGATTCTCTAGGGCTGCCGTCTTCCTTTAAGGGTTCTGGCTTCAGACTAAGTGAGCAGTACGTGTCATCTGGACCACACCATGTGGGTTTTGGCTGCCACACTAAATGACTAGGCCTCAGATCAACCTTATTACCTGGGGTCTAGAGATGTCAGAATTTCAGGCATAGTGGTGATAACTAGACTACTAAAATGCTCTTTGTAATTCCTTCAAACTCTCATTAACCTTTGATGACCAGCTTTGGGTAAAGGCAACCCTGAAAGACTCCCATATTATTCCTAGGCACTGTAATGTCAGCTTGACTTAACATGTACCGACAAACACTGTTTGCCAACAATGACACCAGCTTCTTTGAGTATCAGCCTTGACTTTGTAGTTGGTAAGGACCAAGGTCAAGGTGTTACACGTACACATTTTGCTGTTGTCAAAATAATGTGAAGTCAGTAAAAGCGTGAGTAGACTCCATCAATCAGGACTCAACAAGATGAATGAGAACAGCCATGCAAGCAACATTGCCTACAGGCAAAATGATGACTGGGAATATTGAGGTTTTTGTGGCTGTCGTTGAATATGACTCAGCCATTTAATCCTTGAACCAAATTTTCTTAAGAAATTAAATATAGATACTCTCATTCTAAAGTCATATTCGATATACTCGCACGATTTTATCCCATATTAAATTTGAATGAATATAAGGTGAATGGCTGTGGTAGACTTCTGCATAGAATTCTTCATTTAGGATTTTTTTCCTCTGCATTTTTAACATTTACTGATTTGAAAGGAGGAGATATAGAGGTCTTGAATTTAGCGATTCACTCTTCAAATGGCTACCATGGCAGGGGCTACTTCACTCCCAAGCTAGAAATTTAAAGTCCATCTGGGCAAGCACTTTGCCATCTTGTGTTATCTTCCCATGCACACAAGCGGGGAACTGACTGAGTAGACGAGGGAAGCAGAGCGTGAACTGTCACTCTGGTGTGGACGCTGGCATTATAGGCTGTGGCTTGCCTTACTGCAGTGCAGGCCTAGCCCAGGATGTGTAGTTCTATCTACAATAAAATACAGTCAAATATAAATAATTTGTCCTGCATTTTTGTAGTTTAAATGGCACGCAGTTATGTGGGGTTTTGTTTTCATGCTAATTGTTCTGACCACATGGTTTGCTAGATTTCTGATTATTAATATAACATCTGTATAAATTGGTTTATGTGTTTATGATGACTTACAACTATTTTTATTTCAATAGTTTATTTTGGTAACAGAATTACCTTTCAGCCACTGTTACATACATATGTTTGAGTGTTGAGCCCTGAGCTGTTGTCATTTTAGTTACATTAATGCCTTGCTTTGGGAAAGAATTTGAGTCTAACTGGGTTGTTTTTCAATCCACAGGCCATGGTAAGTGTGACTGTGGCAAGTGCAAGTGTGACAGTGGTTGGACTGGAGCCGCTTGCCAGTACCCCACCCGCTGTGACCTGACCAAGAAGAAAAGTAACCAAATGTGCAAGAATTCTCAAGATGCTATATGCTCCAATGCAGGTAAGAATCCCGTTTTAGAAAAATCGTTAAGTAAATAACAAATCTTTTTCACTGGAAACAGGTAGACGTGGAGAAATGTTGAATCTTTCAGAGACTCTTTTTGAGGCTATTTATCAAAAGTGAAATTCAGATAAGTCAATAGAAAAAAAAGTGTCATTTTGCTGCGATTGGCAAGTTTGGTGCTCTCCAGATGTTCCAAGCCCTTCCTTGGAGCAGGATAGTCACTGTAAGCAACACTTCAACAACATTGATATAAACGGCGAGCCGTGGTCTGAGTGCTGGAAAACAGTCCTGAAAAAGAATTTACATGAACCGACCTAACTATTTTCTATTACAGTTCAAGAGTGGTTTGAGTTTATATCTTAACATCAAATAGAACCAAACTTTTTCAGTTTGATGGATGCCTCAGCTATACTAGTATCAAATTCATCGAATAGAGTGACAGCAAGGCTTTGTGCTTGACCAAAGTGTTGTGACGCTTGATAGAAGAGATCAAAATCGTAGAAAATTACACAGATGCTATTAGATTTAGTAGGAAAGTCAGTGGAATGAAAGCTGAAACATACGCTTCAGTGGCTCTTAACCAACATTACTGCAGTGCTTCAGCTTGGGAATCCAAGGCAAAGGACACTGAGTACTGCAGTCACGCCCTGGAGAGTCTGCTTCCATAGCTTTGGGAAGGGGCTTCGATATGCCCTGGGTGTTGGTACAGTTTTCAAGCTCTCTGGATGATTGCAATGGGGCATGAGCCATGGCCCTTCATGTGGCGGATGGGTCTGCTGAGGGCCGTGTCTCCCTTCCTGAGGCTTGCACTCAGAGCTAGGGTTCCCTCATGGCCTGATTGCAATCAATTGCTCAGGGTAGGTGTTTCGCTAATCCTGGCCATGACCCAGTGACTCTGGAGGGCATCAGGCAGGGATTGCCCAGGCGGATTACTGGTCATGCCACTGTTTGTTCATAATATCCTCTTTGCTCTTTTCCTTATTTCAATCTTTGTTCCCCATCATTATACTTACCTTCCACCCCACCACACACTGCACTGATCTTGAAAAACTTATTTTAGCAACAGTACTTGAATTCTATTTTAGAGGTCTGCACTTGAATTTGTTTACCATTTTAAATCTAAGCATGTAAAAAGAGCACATAGTAACCTAATATGGTTTAGACTAGGAATTTGAGAATGTTTTGATATTAAGGAATCTAAATTTGAAATTCAGCAGATTAGCATACCTTAAATGACAAAAACAGAATTTCTCAAAGAAATAATAAAACATTTTAAAAGTGTTTTCCTTTTATTGGAAAGGGAGAGGACAGACACAAGTGGGGTGGGTGGAGAGGCAGGGGGCTGGAGAGAGAGCATGCTTCTTGTGGTTCCTTCCAAACGGCCTCAGCAGTCAAGGTGGCACAGCTGAAGCCAGGAGCCCAGAACTCTGTCTGGGTCTGTTGGATGGTGTCAGATCCTCAGTTGCTTAAGGCATCAGTGCTGCCTCCTAAAGTTCATATCAACAGGAGGTTGGCTTGAAAGTGCAGGTGCTAGGATGTGGATGGTCCACACTCCAATTGGAGATGAGGACTTTGCAAGCACTGAGGCGGCCACTGTGCTGAGCACCCACCATAGAAAGAGCATCCACCTGAGATGCCAGTGACGCTTACTTTGTTATCATTCATAAAATGCTCTGTTGTGTGTGTTCCATAGTACAGTTTGTCATGTGTCCCAGTGATATTTTTGTTTAGCATTTTCTTTCCCTTCTTACAGTATGCTATCTGCTATATCCATATTTAGCTTATATTCCTTGAACTTGTACTATTTTCATGAAGGTGTTGGTTGCATAACATTAAACACTTTGAATAAAATTATCCCTGCTGCTTTTTTTTTTTTTTTGAAGTAAAATGCTGCTCAGTTGGACTTGTCAAATACCTCCAGATACATAAATTCAGGGCATGCGTTCTGGGACGCAATTTCAAGTAGTTAGCTTTGGGTCCTCAATGTTTCATCTCAAAGCCTCTGGTAGCCACAGGCTGTCCTGGGTGTGGTCAGTTTTGATAGTCTGCCCAGGCTGTTTTCTGGTGTCTCAAGTCTGTTACTGATAATTCACCCTGTTAAGACCTAAACCTTCTGCTACAGTTTGAAATTGCAGATCTACAGTATTTCTTATGAAAGCTGCCCTAGCTTTGCCACCCATTGATGATTCTTACCTGATTCAGGGTTTCCAAGATGGAGAAAAAGCAGAACTCTAGAGAGTGGGAGAAAAAGAGAAAGATCCTTTATCTGCTGGTTCACACTATAAATGGCTACCACATTCCGTGCTGAAACCAAGCGTCAGGAGCTCCCTACAGTTCTCCCACATGGATCCAGGGTCCCAGATGTGTAGGCCATCCCCTGCGGCCTTCTGAGACACAACAGTGGGGATCTGGTTTGGAAGTGGAGCACTGTACTCATATGTAATAATTGCATTGCGGGCTGCAGCTTAATTTGCTATCATACCATGCCGGTCCACAATTCTTTTCTTCCTGACTTCACAAAATGCCACAGTCATATTATGCCTGCCTTGCCATAACTTATAATCAACTGCTTCTGCAAAATTCCTGGTTCCTTTTAGGGAAGAAAGGTCTTAAAAATAAAAATAATGAGGGACCCGGTATGGTAAAATAGTGGCTAAAGTCCTCGCCTTGCATGCAGCGGGATCCCAAATGGGTGCTGATTCTAATCCTGGTGGCCCCACTTCCCATCCAGCTCCCTGCGTGTGGCCTGGGAAAGTAGTAGAGGATGGCCCAGGGTCTTGGAACCCTGCCCTTGTGTGGGAGACCAGGAAGAAGCTCTGGGCTCCTGGCTTTGGATTGGCTCAGTTCCAGCCATTGTGACCACCTGGGGAGTGAATCAGTGGATGAAAGATATTCCTCCCTGTCTCTTCTCTTCTCTGACTTTCCAATAAAAAATAAATCTAAAAAAATGAAAAATAAAAACAATGAACGTAAAACCTTATTTCTATTGGGATAGTTTGTTTATTGGCCCTTTCTGTGAATGGGCTACAAAATAAACAATACAGTGCAATCATTTTGAAGAGTTTATTTGAGCAAATAACACTTTATAAACTGGGCAGCTCCAAACCAGAGCCAGTTAAGAAGCAACCCTATTGGTACACAAAGAGGAGGCCCTTATATGATGTACTCAGAAGTAAAGTAGAAATAAATATTCAATGAGTGACCCTAGCTAAAATTTTATTGGTTGTTTCTGATTGGTTAGGCTTATGTTAATATTTTTTCCTTAATATGGGCTTTTCCAGGAACAGTAGTTGAAGGTGGTAGGTTTCAATCTTGTTCACAAATCAAGCTAAGTTTGATAGGAAGAATTTTGGCTTTGCTCAGCAGATCTCAAGGACTGGCTTGTACTTTAATTGATACAAATCTTAGTAATTAAAAATTCATGTTCATATATACATGCATGTGAGTGTGTATTTATACACACATATTTGCTAATATAATTTTGATGTATAGACCCTCAAGCCTATTTCTAAAAGTCAAAAGTCTGTGAACAACGTCTCTCCATCCGCGTGTTTACACTGACCCCCCAAGGTAGCCACCCAAACTGCTTTCTACTTTATTTGCATTTGTTGGTTTTTGTTTTTAGTAAGGATAGACACACATGTGTTACTAATTTTTTTTTACCCTACATAAAAAGTAGCATACCTTTGCTCTCATGCACCTTGCCTTTGCCACTCATCATTATCTCCAGGAATTCATTCCTTACCCATTGATGGAAATCTTTTTCATTCTTTTTTTTCAAAGCACATTAATGAATTCTAGATGTGTGAGATGGTTTATTCAATCTGTCTCCTATACTTAGGCATTTAGACAGTTTCCATTATTTTGAAATTGCAAAGAATGAATGAGACAATCTGGTGCCTTGGTATTTTCCCATCTTTGGAGGTGCATCTTCATGGTAAATGACCGTAAGTAAGATTACTGAGCTAAGACATAAATTCATACTTGGTGAACACTTCATCTTTTCTTTCTCACTTGCTGGCATCCCAATGCATCTAAACCCTCCAAGTGTACTCCGGCAGTCTCATTCTTTTGTCTTGCTTGTCGGACTCCCTCCCACCATCCTTATTCATGTTCCCTCCCCACCAACTGCATCAGCACCAGGTTTACCTGTGCTTCTTTCTCTTTTCCATCTGGTGTACTTTGCTGGAAACATCTTGGAGCAGGGAGGGAGAAGAGGTAAGTGGAGTGGGTCAGATCACAGAAGGACAGGATGCGGTGGAGATGGGGATGGAAGAGTTCGAGAAACCCAGAAGAGTGACAGCATGCCATGTAGGACAAGCAGCCACAAATGTTTCACAGAAGCACAGGCTGGAACTTGGTCCCTAAGTCGTCCAGGAGAGCCAGCCAGCTCTGGGAGGCATGGTAAAAAAAAATCGAGCTGAACTGATATTGCTTGAATTACAGATCAGTCCTAGAGAATGAGTGAACTGACAAGCCAGATAAAGAAGCGTGTGACGCAGCATGAATAGAGTCTGGCACCTTTGCCTGGGCTCCATATGCCTTGCTGCGTAGGCTCAGTTGTGAAGTTTTTCATGTTGAGTGAGATAGGAAGTATCTGAGCTTTTGTAAACTGCCCACATGAGCCAGGAGTGGTTCAGATGTGTAGGCGGGGGATGTTGGTGAGGGCTTGAGGAATTCAGAGGCAGAGGTTGTTCCTTTCTGTTCTTCTAGAGAAGCATTCTTGTGCCTGCACTGCTCTGACCATCTTACTGTGTGCTACCAAGCCAGGAAAATCTCTTAATCTCCAAACTCGAGCCAGTCTCATCTGGGCTTTAATTTTCTGTCCTTATTTTTCAAGTTATTTCCATCTTTCAGGTGTAAACTCATAAATTGACTCCTTTCTTGGGCTTTTGTTCCTTCACAGAAACAGTCTGAGACTTACAGTTTGCATAAAGTGCTTACCACAGTCCATTGCCTTGTCCTGCATCTTTCCTCTTACATGCATACTGTGTAATAGAACATGAATTTGGTTTTACAAATATGCTTATTACATATAATTTATTAATTTTGTATCTTTTCAGTCTAGGATTTACCCAACTTTCTTTCTTCCCTGCCCATCATTTACTTAATTTTCTTATTTCCTGTAACACCCAGTGCTTTTTTGATGTCATAGGTGTTACAGGAAAGTTTAATGACTGGATATGTGGGTGGCTAAGAAACAGAAGGAATAAATATGAGAATAAAATAGAAAGGTGATAATTAGAGAAAAAATTTAGATGTAGAAATACCATGGACTGTTAGCATGAAGTTCCATGGCTTTTATAAATTAATAAAGCTTTCAGGAAGAAATATAAGATAATAAGTTTTAATGAAAGTAAAATTCACATGAATTTTGTCAAAATGAAAAACGATATCCTCAAGTTCTGCACAATCACATTGTATGTAACTGTAAGAAAATAACAGGAATAACAAATTGTAAGTGATTCAGGTAACAGACTCTTGCAGAGGGTAGGAAAACAAAGGCATCATCAGGGAATATAAATATAGGATAAGTCTGGAGAAAGTATTTGGCTGTATGCCTAACAAATTTGGTGCCTTAATAAGGAGAGAAAAATAACCCAAAATGTTCTGCAAGCTTACTCTGGCCTGGACATGGGTGTGCTTTTAGAAAGACAACTGTTTGGTCTGCTTCTGGCTTGGTTCTCACAGCAGTTCTACCAAGGTTATTTTCAATGGGAGTCTGAGATTTACAGATGAAAGCAATGGTCTTGTTAGCGCATAGGTAGACAGAATTAAAACCTGGATTCCACTCCAAGTTAGCCTTAGCCTAGTGTCCTTGCTTTTACAGGATGCCTGTATAGAATGACAATGTCAAGCTCCAGCCAACTGTTTGTATTGTGTATACTTCCTTCCTGTCAGTCACCTTTCCTACCCATCAGAGAGCAGATGCTATCTATTCTTTCCCTTGAGACTATCCAAGATGTTTAGCTCTTCCTAAACTCAAGTCCAGCATCTGCCCAGAATCTAGCTTCTTTCCTTCAGACCAATGCAACAGCAACTTCAGATTTCCATAACCTCACACTTGCCACCTTGCAATTCATTCAGACAAGCACTGTAACCGGCTCCATTGACTCCCTTGGGAAAAGCTGGAGGTCTTTACAGCAGCCTATGACATCCAGTAAATGGCACCTTTAGCTGCTTTTTCAGTTGCATGCCACTTGTCAGGTGATTGCATGCCACTTGTCAGTCCTGTTGGATTCTTCTTGGCCTTCTCATCCTCTGGAACCACAGACTTGTCTCTTCTTGGAAGCAGGCTTCTTCACCACCTCACACCTCTCACGGCGCAGCAGTTCTTGGTTTGAGAGCTTACGTCCTCAGAGACTTCATCTTTGACTTCCACAACAGAACTGGATCCAATGTCGTATGCTGCTGTCACACTTTGTACCTCTCTACTTACTCTCTGAGGTTTATGCTCATTTGAAACTCTGAGAGGAAGTCCGTGTTGGGCTGGATCTCCTGTTGGATGGCCAGAGTCCAGGGTCCTGTCTGGTGCATGACAATATCTCATATGAGAAGGCTTCAAGAACCTGATAGAAATGCATATTGTAATTCTGTTTTCTATGATTTTGTGTGAATGTTGATTGCTGTGATGATCACTTAAAAACTGAAATATATATTTTTAAAAGCTCATAAAGTAGGAATTCTTTCAGTTTCATTTGAGTATAACTTTATTATCACTGAAATAACTTTGGGGACTATAGTCAAATCGTTAAAAAATTTCAATGAAGCTGGCTTGTGGTAGACCAGATGCCTGACCCTTTGAGCTGCCTTGAGATTGTGGCAATATACTGGGAAGTTAAGAAAGTCTATCCTGTCCCAATGGTAAGAACACACGTATCAGCTAATGCTTAGGAAGTAAAATTATAAGCAACATATGTCTTTCATTTGCATACTTGATAATTATTTTCACAAATAATGAGAATGTGTGTAAATGTTATGCCAAGCACTGCTAAAGAATATAAGCAAGGATACCTCTCCCACAGATTTTGAATCCAGCCAGGATAAGATACTCACTTCTGGATTGGATGAATAGATGTGGATAAGTAACTCTGCAATCAGGGAAGTCAGATTTACAATCATTGGTCAAACAGAGGTCAGTAATAACAGCTGTGATGCAAAAGAAAATTGTTGTTATAATCCCAAGAGTAAACAGCTTACTCTCTTACCCACAAGGATGTATAACTGGAATGTTAAATTTGAGTTTGCTAACTTCTTGAGACAGGATAAGAATGAGTTATAATTCATATGCATAAAAATGTAATCATTTTTGTTCTCATGGTGTAGGTACATGCCATTGTGGCAGATGTAAGTGTGACAATTCAGATGGAAATGGACTTGTTTATGGTAAATTTTGTGAATGCGATGACAGAGAATGCATTGATGATGAAACAGAAGAAATATGTGGAGGTATGTATATCGATTCCATAGAACTTTATCCAAGTAACTGGCATTCCACCTATGGCACTTTTAGCTCTATATAAATCTGTGCTTTAAGATCACAAATTTAATTTGGATTTGTGTTTATTTGGAAAACATATAATGTGATAGACTAAGGCATTGAGAGTTGATTAGTACTTTTTACATGTGGAATTGAATTGTCCCTAGAAGAGAGCCATGTTGTCATGGCAACAGCCAATTGCACAGCTTTGGAGAGCTAGTGGAATGCCGTCTTAGTCACTTTTATTCTCTTTTCTCCTAATCTCTTAATTTCATCATCTTTTCCTTTTAAAACTTTAAGCCTTTAGAAAGTCTCTTGTTTTGTTGGGAACATTGAAGTTCAATATCACGGTTAGCTTAGAGGTACCTTCTCTCTTCTATCCATATGCACATGCTTAGATTAAGATCTTTCATGTTTTTTCTAGCTAGCACCATTACTCAATCCAATTTGCTATTATACCAGTTCTGGCATGTTTTCTAGTGCCAAGTGTTGCAAAAAGTGCTGTGCATTATGTTCTGTTTTACAGCATCACTCTAAGATCAGAAATTTTTAAATCTATGCAGACAGATGTGGAAACTGGGACTTAGATAAGTTAAATAATTGCCAGGGTCACTCCACCAGTTGTAGTTGAACTGGCTGTGTTCATGACCCTCCTCCGTTTAGAAGTGTCTCAGTGGCTTGGAGATCTGAGTTCCCTACGATGAGCCCCTTGCAGAACCTGCAGACCCCTCCGCTTTGGCTTACCTTCCTGCCAGCCTGTGCTCGGTTCTGTTTGCAGCATTACCGGGCTGGAGAAAGGAAGGTAGAGCTGTGAGCATCAAGGCAGTTGGGCGAAATTCTTCTGCTTTAAGAAATGTAGACTTCTCTTACATCTGGCAGGAGTTGTATCTTCAGAATCCTGTCCTACGTGTGGAAAGTTTGTTTAAGGAAAATAATTTTCCTGGAAAGGTCAGGGCAGCAGGGCCAGGGGACAATCGGAGGGCCCCAAGGAGTGTCATTAACATGGAACATGTTTGTCCCTTTGTTTTCATTTCTGCTCCTGTAGAAATGACCCATACAGTCTTAGGTAGATAGATAGATGCTTGTCCATTATTTATTTAGTAGAGAGGGTGGGTATTTGTGAGAGTGGATGTGCCAGCATTTGCGGTGCTTATATTCTATATCAGAATGCTTGAGTTTCATATTAGTTACTTGATGGTTGTAGACCTATCAAGATACAACAGGCTCAAGCACATTCCATATATTTTTCTGAGCCACTGACCTAGGGTATGTGCTGGCCAGACAGACACAATCCAAATAACAAAAACAGTCAGACAAATCCACTCACAAATTCATATTTGTCCTCTTGACGTTTTACTTCCAATTACTGCAGATCAAAGCAGAAGAAGGGAACATGCCTCAGGCCAATGTGTTCTGATATGTACATTAAGCAAAGTCTGTTCGCATGTGCAACTGCAAAATTTAACTTGAAACAACACAACAGGGGATGTTTCACTCTCAGCTTTCTGCTTGTTATTTTTGTTTGATGTTTATCACTTCTGGGCCTTGTGGCTAAGATCAAGTATATTTGTTTGTTTATGCTGTTTCTGACCTCAGACACCAGCTCTTCTGTAAACACCCCCTGGGAGTGCTACTGCCTACACGGGCAGAGTTTTCTGTGTTTCTTTCACATGAAACTAGTCTGTAGAGAGATGATTCTATAGTTCACCAGTGAAGCAGTACAAAAAACAAAACAGTCTCTTGCTTTATCGGTTTACATCTAGCATTGTGTTCATTGTCTGGGTTATGCATTGCACTGAAGCCTGCATTTAATCTCAGTTATTCTGATGTGTCTTGTCCATGTCCCCACACAGAGAAAATGTTCTATGATTTTTGTCTCCGTATTCACATCATCTCAATTTTTTAGTAAAATCATATTTCACTAATGAATTGAGCCAACAAAGATTTTAGGGGTGAGAAAAGCAAATTAATGATCAGTTGTTAATATGATAATCCTTACATATGTAGCGCTTGATACATATACATCCTGAAATTACAAAGATAATACTTTCTCCAGTTTGGGCTTGGTGAACCTTACAAAATTTAACTCAAAAAAAGTGGTTAGTATGTGCTCTCCTTGTTTCCCACCCCCGTTCTAGTTCCATGGGTGCTTGAAAAGTCCTGGGACTGGCTTTGGTTGTGTAAATATTCAGAGATAGTTAGGTTACTAAATAAAATGTATGGATGATCTATTTTGTTACTGATGAAATCACTTGATGGCTTTTACATTTGTGTAGGTGAACATATTATGGTGTTCATGTGATTATCCTCTATTAGGTTAAGGAAGGACTTTCTGTGAATTATCCCAATTCAAGTTTATTTAGTGAGAAAACAGCATCTTCTCCTGGGTCCATCTCCCTCCGGCACAGTCTCCTCTCTCTGCTCTCTGTCAGGTGTGGTTTTCCTTGAAGGATTCTCAGCATGTGGACATCATCAGTGCAGCAGGCCACAATGTTCTGTATTTCCTGCTCATTGTATGGATTTGACAGGTTTTACTGATGACCATGCTGTTCACAGGAGATGCCATAGTATTGTAGTTAAAATATACTGGGAAGAGATTGGAAAATATTACAGCTGTAGAAGGGCCTATGGATTGATAGGATACAGAATTTTATAACAGTAAGAGTAAACTCACAACAAAATAAACGTGAGGATTTAGGTTAATGCTTGGATGGCACGATGACTGAATTTGGGGGAAATGTCATCCTTTGGGAATTTGTATGAAGTTTGCGCAGCAGGGATGGGAGCACCAGTGATGTGAAAAGTCCCTGCAGCTAGCTCAGGCAGGAGTGGGAGGGGAAACCAAATGAACAGGTGACAGGATATAGAGAAGGTGGTCCAGGAAAGTGTGGCATGTAGCCGCAGAGCGATCGGTGCTCTTCTCCGAGTGTTTGACTGTGAGTGCCAGGCTTCATGGTATTTACCTGTCAGTGAGGACCAAACCTTGACTTAGTAGAAAACCTCTTTTCCACTTTGGTAGGCTACAATAGCTTGTGGGAGTCAGTTGAATGAAAGATGAAATATTTCCTCTTGTTTAAAAATGGTTTGGTCATTAATAATGTGTACCTAAGTAAGTATGCTCCGTTGATTTCAAGTGAAATGTTTGAATAATTCCCAAAGTGTTCTTAGAATAGGTGCTTACATGCATTTAAGTTTGATGCATGCATTTAAGTTGGCAATATAATAGACTTCTAGTCTTTCTTGTCACTTCCTTAAAACTACTTTCATTTTCTCCAGCTCCCTGCCTAGCCAGCTTCAAGAACATGTTGGCTTGCTTTATTGCAGGTAGAAGGGCAATTGTGATGTTTTGGGGAAAACTGTATAATTTGATTATTTTAAGTGCGCAATGGGGAGCTGTGAAATTATTTTAAAAGGTAGAAATGATCACCACGAGGTGGAAAATTAATTCTGCTTTGAAAAGTTGCTGTTTTTCCTCTCCCCCTCCCCCTATAAAATTCATTTTGGGTGAAGGCCATGGGAAGTGTTACTGTGGAAACTGTTACTGCGAGGCTGGTTGGCATGGAGATAAATGCGAATTCCAGTGCGACATCACCCCCTGGGAGAGCAAGCGAAGATGCACTTCCCCAGATGGCAAGATCTGCAGTAACCGAGGTGTGTCATTCATGCATGTTACTACATAACTGGAAAGAGAACAAGGCTCTTAATTGTTAACACTTGACTCCCTCTCTGTCCTTCAGGGTGAGAAGTCCTCTTTTATAATCATTTCCTTGGATGCATATCAACATTTACCACACTGACATCTTCTCTTTCTTGTTTCCTAGAAGAAAACAGATAAGAAAGTTGCTGTCATTCTTTAGGTTTTGCTGAACAAATAGTTAACGCAGGGAGTGTCATTTCTTTGGCAGCCTTCCAAAAATAGCACAGCCCTGTGAAAAGGCAATTCTTGTAGATACTCCTGCTGAATGTCTCTTGACTAGCAGAACTGTCTACAGCATGTGCAGCTAATTAGCCAGAGAATATTTGGGAAACCCTCTTGCCTTCATTATGAGTATTTTGAAGACTGGGTTGAAATGTAGAATTGATACAGAGGAAGTTTAACTTCTGTGTGCAATAATAAAAATGATTTCAATGCAATAGATATATAAATTATATATGAGATAACTGTAAGTAATTTGAACTGACCTTAAACTGGAACTTAGAATATGTTAATATTGCTTAAGTATGATAATTGCCATTGAAATTAAGCTTCTTGACTAGCTGTTCTTGAGATTGTTGCTATCTTTGCCTTACGTACTATTGCAGATAAGACAGACCCATTCTGGGAGTTTCACTGGGTACAGGAAGACCAAGAAACAGTTTTACCTGCTTTATGAGATTATAGCAATCGGATGTCTGCAAGGTTATTTTCTGATTTCTTTCAGTGGATGATTCATCTCAATTGGTATTGATCACATAGAGCTAACACATAACTTTTCCAAAATAGACATGGAAGGGTAGACATACCACAGTTTTCTGTATAAAATAAGGAAAGCAAAAGTCCTGGACTTGGAAAAAGAATCCTAAAGAAAAACCCTCTCTCATTGCTATCTAGTTCTTATCCATCACACCAATTCACTTTCTGGGTTTTTTTTTTTTTTTTTTTTTGTCCCTTTGTTATAGTGGAAAACCCCGACTTGGATCCAAAGGAGAGGGACAGGAGATCAGTTAGGCTGTGGGTTTAGGTCAGGATTTGCAGTGACCTTGGGTCTGTGGGACAGATGCTCCCTATGCATCCTGCCAGTGCTCCTGCCTCCAACATGTCTGCTGCCTCCCTATGTGTGGAGTACACGGTTCTGCTGTAGAGCTGTGGCACAGGCTGGATGGGCAGCACTTCACCCAGTGAGGCTCGCCACTCATGAGCTTCTGAAACACAGAGAGGCAGTGGTCCTTGCACAAAACAACTCATTCATCACTCTAGCTCATCGGTAGGTGCGCCAAAAGCAGTGTTACAGACGCAGTTACTAGACTCACTTTCAAATTCACCTGAGTAGCTATCTTTTGATGGGTTGGGAAATAGCTATTTCTGCAGGATTGGCAAAGCACCCGTAACTCCATCCCAAATGCTACCATTACAGAAGGAATGCGTAGCCTCTGGTTTTAATAATTGAGGTTGTAAAATAGAATATAAAGAAGAGAAGTTTGACACATAATTTTAACACGGGTACAAGGGCACTCTAAAGTTGGTGAAAATGGGATTAAGAGTAAGTTTAGTTGAATGTAAAAAATTTGGAATCTATTAGGTGATATAAAAAAAATCACATGGGAGATTGTACAGTGTGCACACACACAAATACTTGCACAATGTTTTGCTCCTGAATGTACTAAAACTAATTTTAATCGATAAACATATTTTTTTGTCAGAGTGCCTATGAGACTTTTGAGGGAAAATGATGGTATATTAATTTTTCAGTGCTCTGCTTGAGGAAAAATAGCACAGTTTTAATGAATCATCCCAACAGCTCAACTATTTGCACATGTAAATTGGATTTCTCAAATAAGGGATCTCCACTATCAACTTGAGGTAGTGTTTCTCCTTCTTAGAACATGTTTATCTGAATATGTTTATTTTCCAAATACAGAGACAGCACTGAGGGTGGGAGGAGCAATGTGTGAGCTGATGGCTTTCATGGTTTTCTGGACTGGAAACAAAATTCCTTTTCCCATCTAGGGACCTGTGTGTGTGGGGAATGTTCGTGCCATGATGTTGATCCCACCGGAGATTGGGGTGACATTCATGGGGACACCTGTGAGTGTGACGAACGAGACTGCCGATCCAAGTATGATCGATACTCGGATGACTTCTGCTCAGGTAAAGCCTTTCCTCATGCCCATTTGTATTTAAAAATACTAATTTTCCTATTTTCTGGCTTTATTCTTGCTCTCACCAATGCCATAAAGGAAACTATCAACTCTGCCACACCCACTATGATGGCGCCTCCTATTGGTAACCTGGAATACCTCCACAGAGTCTGCACATTTAGGAAATTGAAAGGCTTCAGTCTTGTTATTCACTGAGCAGACCCATTAGTTCCAGGTGAGAAGGCAGAACTAGCAGAGCTGATCAGTGAATATGACACTCAGCATTCAGACAGAAAAGCTAGATTAATGTGTGATGAAGCTTAAGATGGCATGAGCACAGGTCTCAGGAACGTGTATACATTATCTCTCCAATAGGATTTATGGTACAATATTCTACAGTGTAGTCTCAAATTGAGGAACAACTAGCAGCTTCAGAACTTTAGGCCATGTGTGTTTATGGAGCAGATGTTGTCACTGGAACTCAGGCAGCGTCTGGGCTAATGGTCCCATCAGTGAAGGAGAGGCACAGAATTCACAACTTGAGGATGGCTTTCTAAATGGAAATGAAAAAAATGGTGCAAAGAAGAACCAACCTGAGCTATGTGGAAAAGTGTCATTTAGCAAAAAGCAGTTAGAATTGGTCCAGCTCTACTTGACAAAACAGAAGGCATCTCTTTAAACTTGACTGCTCAACTGGTACATGTTGATAGTGAGCATTCAGGAAATCAGAGGGCTTTTCCAGCCAAGAGAGATGAAAGAGTTGTCCCATGTAGTTCTGATTACAGGACTTCAAAGACCTCTGCAACCTGACTGAGGGAAGCCTGCTGCTAAAATATCTGCACATCTGTCACAGGATTCCCCTCTTCTGATCATCCACGGTGTTCTGCAGAATTTGCTCCACATGTTAACACTATTCTCCAGAGGGTGTCTTTCCACCATTCATCATCTTTGAGAGTGTTCTTCCTTGTCATCACCTATCAGTGCACTGGTGATACAAGGGCTAATGACACTGACTTCTAAATGTCGAGTGCTTATTGAGAAGGTTGGGAATGGGCTGACATTTTCACCAGGTTGGTGGGGCTTTTCCCAGCGGGATGATGCATGGCCTATGCACCGTACAATTCAGAACCAGGCCTTACTGTGACGGTTGTGTATAGTGGGCTCATGATGGTGTTGGGCAGAAGAATGCTACAGTAACAGAGTTTCTCATCTGGTTGTCTGGATAAATGTTGGCATCATTTATCAAAATGGGGAATGTAGGAAAAAGTTACCAAGTTTGTTTTTAGGTGTCTAAGCCCATACAGCCTGTTGAGTATGACAGTCTGAGTTAGTGTTAAATGTGAGAATTTGGAGTTGTAAGCATAGAGCTGATTAAAAAGTCCTAGGGTTTGAAAGTGTTATTTAAGAAAACATTGACATAAATATGATTTTGCATAATTTTAAATAACACACAGGAGATAGTGTCTTTTTATAAAAATTCAAAGTTTGTGCCTTGTTATGTCTGATGCCTTCATTTCGGTTCGTGTCTACATTCTTTTAAATCCATACTCTTTGTTTTGATCTTGGTTTTGAATGAGTTTGAAAAATTAGAATTTTACATTACAGTGATAATCAAGGGTCCCCGAAGCTGCTTCCCCTCGCGATGAGGGAATGTGGCCATCAGTATGGATGGGTGATTATAATGCAACTGACACTTCTAGCCTCTTCCAAGAGCTCTTGTAAAGTAGCATTAAACGCTAGAGCTTTTTCTATAGGTTAAACAGATGAAATAGCATGAGGGAGGCTCTCCTGGAGTATACTTTTCACTATACTTATTCTTTCTTTTGGTTCTACTTTATTCTTGCCATATTTTCCAGTCTGCCTTCTTTTAAAATAATGCAGAGAAAGTTAGGTGGTTTGGCAGTTAGAGCTACCTGGTTGGTGGGATTTATCGTGAGAAAGGTGTAGTCCTTTCACCTGTGGCCTCATTGTTGTGTGTGTAGACAAGTAGAGGGTTTGTAAAGATGGTGACTCTGATCTGAACAGGCAGCTCTGACAGTTGGTCTGTCGTGTTTTATTTCTTGCCTGAACTGAATTGAACGTGGCTCATCATCTACAATGTGCTCCCCATGCTTAGAATGAAGAAGTTAGGGAAGAAGGGATTCACATTGACAAAGATCCTACTTACCTGTTAGACCGTTGTCGAGTCCTTTCCTACACTACCAACCACCTCAGAGGAGACATCATGTACATTTGATTAGAACAGAAAATAGTTTAGAGAAATGACTGAACTTGACAAAGTTTCACCTGGAAACATATATGAGGATACTTCAAAAAGTTCATGTAAAAGGCAAATAACATTCACAATGACTGTAGTATAAAAAAATTGTAGTGCAGAAAATTATAATCCATGTGTATTTTATTGCATGCATGTTAATGAACTTTAAAATTATCTCCTGATAGTCTTAAGTACTCATGTAATTTATTCTCCAGGGGATGGGAATGAAATTCAATTTTACTTTTAGTGAGAAACAACTGTTCTCTGGATGTCGCAAGTTCTTGTAAAACTGCACTCCTTGGAACGTCATAATGGGCTGGGGCAGACTTCAATCTGGGGAGTCTTTTTCCTCCTTACGAAATCTGCAGCTTGCTACACACTGTGCTTAGGGAGCTATTAGTCCTTACAGTTTTTCTAATTATAAGACTATCTTGTATCATAGGAAGGATACCATCAGTTGATTATTGAGTATATTAATACCTTTCACCTATAAGACAAGTAACCCCACTCCATCAATATGCAAGTGATTCTTGCAAGAGTGAAATGAACTCAGGCTCAGAAATGCAGCTCTATTTTTAGCTGCTAACTTTGCCACCCTGGGAGTCCTGGTCTTGCTTGGTCCAAGGGAAATCTCTGCAAGGATTCGTTTAAATTGATTCTTAATTGGCATTCTCATTTTATTCATCCATTTTGTCTATTCAGTAAGGCATTTAAATGTAACTATTTCTAGGGTATTTAGTTTAAATTTTATTTGTTTTTCATGATGTTTACATAGTTGACCAGAGTAGGAAGGGTCATGTACTAGGGCAAAGTGAGTGAGGCCATTATTTATAACTTTTCTCTTTTTTTCCTGTACCTGGGGGTAGGGGGTAAATTAGAGAGGCTGCACCCAGTCTTCCAACCTCCCCTGTGCCCAAGGATGGGGTTTGGCTACCTGATGTCATCTCAGGGTCCCTGGTATGGAGCATGCTCCTAGGGTGCTGCTTAAGTGGTTTCAATAGTTCATAAACACTGTCTATCTGGCCATTCAAGGATGAGGAAATCCTTCAAAGGTCCATCCACTGACACAGTGCAATTTTATTCCTATGAAATCATGGAGTCGAGGCAGAAAAATGTTAAAACAAAGTCTCCACAATCACTTCTGTTTATTTTTTATTCCTGTCTGTTGTTTATACATGTGGGTATATGTTGATTTATCCATATACAGATGACAATCTCTCACCTGTGTCCACAACTCCAAGATGATACTGCTGACAGTGTTTGAATGTAACCGACATGACCAGGACGTAGCCAGTCACCCTAAAGTGCACAGGCTGTTCTTCTACTAGACTTGACTTTCTTCCTGATTATAAAATAACTCATTGATTCCTGCTGACTGTGTGCTGTGGTCTGTTTCCCTAAATCCCACAACTGGAATTAATGCTTTAACGTGACCTTGAGCTTTATCTTTTGTCTTGTCCTACCCTATGAAATAATGAAAATAGGATAATGTGGGCTTAAACTCGTTTGGGGAATGGAATCCCTTGATAGAACTGTGTGGTGGGAGGAAATTTGTCATTATGGATCACCAAAGAATTAACAAGAGAGGCAAAATGATGAAGTATGTTCAGCTTACATTGTTTTGAAAGGAAAATCAATATATTGAATAGATTAAAAACAATAACAAGTGTTGGTTGGCTCCAATTTGTTCCTTGGAGTTTTTCCCTGCTGACAATATTCAGTGTTATTTTGTAAGCAGCTACCTATAAGTACCAGAGTTGAATTCATGGGTATCTTTTTTTATCACTTAGAAAGAGAGGTCCCTTATAGCAGGGCAGTATTTTTCTGGACTAGATTCAACTACATTCATCCTGGGTTTGACTCAGAGCAGCACAGCAACCACAGCTGGCTGCTGATGTCCAGAGTGACTGTGGGGCCACTTAGTGACTGCGTGATGAGCACAAATCCTGTCGTCCATGTGGTGTGGGCTCCGCTGCAGTCACAACACACACCCTGTCTTCTCCATAGGTCTTGGTGTGTAGATGCATGTGTGTGCTAACTTACTGATATAGACCTTTGGAGAACAGTATTGTATTTGAAGTTCTCTGGTGTTTACAGCAAGATTTTTTCATCTCTGTTCTCTGCCCACACAGTTTATAAATGCTTGCTAGAAGCAATGAAATTAATTCTTACAGGTTTAACTCATACATTGATTTCACAAACTAACAGAAGCGCTGAGTTTCATATCTGTGTGGGTAAGTTTTCTTCTAGTTTTCTGACGTGGAAGATCAAATTGAGATGAGGCCCACAAACAATACAGGCTCTCGTACATCAAGAACACAAATGTCTCCATTTCTTGTATGCTTTTTTCTATACTTATCTGTAACACTCCCTTTTCCTGTTAAGTAGATCTTAGCATTTCTAAGCTCAATTTTCTATGTAAAATGCAGTTTCATCTTATTTTTAATCTTTTGTTTGAGAGAAAAAGTGGGAGGAGGGATGGGAAGTAACTGCCCATCAGCTGGTTTACTCCCCAAATACCCATGACAGCTGGAACCAGGCTGACATTCACAAGGGAACCTGAACTGCAATCCACATCAACCATGTCAGTGCCAGGGACTTGGTGAGCTGAGTTACCACTACTGAATCTCCAAGTCTGAGTTAGGAAGCTAGAGTCAGGAGCCATCACTAGATAACAGAACTGGGCATACAAGAAGACAGAGGTTCTGTTTGTTCATTTCCTGTCTTCCTGAAGAGGTTCCTTATCTGCTGAA